ACAATGTAAATTTAAAATATTGTAAAACATGTTAAATAGATTATACAATGGTAAAATTTAATACATATTAAATCAATCTAAATACATGCATATTATACATATTGAATAAAATGAATTCAACATAAATACTAAAAATGTTAAATCATTCAAACTCAACACAAAATTTCCTCCTTCAATCCAAGTGTTTAGTCAAAAATCGAGTCAAGAAGTCGAGGTACGAGCAACAATGAGAGATAGATGAGAATTTTGATCATTAGATTTTTGGTTTTTGGTTTTAAGTACTAATTTTTTTAATATTTTTTAATTTATTGGGTTTGGTTGGGTTGGATTTTAATAGATAACTCAGAACCCAAGTCAACCCAACCTAAAATTTGATTTCCTAGCCCGAACTCAACCCAATTGAACTAAAAAAGCAATCCAAACCGGTTGGTTTAGGTTGGGTTGATCGATTTGACCAGTTCAGATTGATTTTTGCTCAACCTAGATATAATCAAGAATTTCATTTCATGTTATTGCTACTGCGTCCACGGAGACATCAAATTTCATGACTTACGCCAATTTTTGACACGGATTTTGTTTGGTAATCCTTGCTTCCATTTTTTTTTTTCCTTTTTCTTTTCAGTTTCTCTTATTTGTACCATTCGTTTAATCTTTACTTTGGAAATTATTATGGGCCTCGTAGATTTCTCCCTTTTAATTTAGGGATAATTACTCCAATAATTTTTAAAAAAGAAATAATTAGAATAATACACTTAAACCTTAAACTTATGTATTTAAACTTCGTATTAATTACGCTTGGTCAAATTCATAAACCACGTGGAACACGTGGAACCTCTCCTCCAATCTAAATTTTTTCACTTCTTCAAATTTTTATTATTAGAAAACTTTCATTTGATGGTACATTTTACGTTAGTTATCCATTTTTGGTGGTTTAAAAATCTATTAGAAGCTTGCAACACGACCATGATAAATGTGTTATGGGCTATGCTTAAATGTCAAAAATTATCTTGCATGGATTATTAAATGCAAAACTATGATTACTAATTTTCTTTTTATTTCTTTTCCTTATTGATATCAATGTAAAAATTTATGAAGTTTAAATCATGCTTATTCAGCTCATTTCTTGTGGCCATTTTCGACTTCTTGTTATGAACTCGTCGTTTATCAATTTTCATTCAACAGATGTATTTCAATGTTTGTCGCGAATACTTTAAAAAGATTAACAAAAATCTTACCCGACGAGTGAAGAAACATAACACTAAATAAGCCAAAAAAGAGGTAACATAAAAATAGGAATTAAAAGAAGAAAATAGCTAATTTGTTGTCCTTAAAAAAAGTGACAATACACACATACTTTGAACTCAAAAACATTGTTGTGTAATTTAGATTATGTGAAAAGATAGGGATACAACAGTTGTTTTATTGATGAGATTGCATACAAATGACAACAATGCGTTGTTTCTTGCAAGAACTTAAAGCGTCAATACTAAAAAAATTTACTCAAAAGTGACATGATACTTTTTAACAGTCATCTTCTTCAAAAAGTGATATTTTTGTAACAATGAAGAAATTAATTTTATGCATACATGCAAAAAGGATACAAATGAAATAGCGTGAGACTTTTTAAAATTTTAGCACATTTATTCACATGCAAGACTAATAAAGTGTTATATCATGTTACTTTTTAATATAAAATAAAGTTTGAATTCATATTGAAATTTAAATTTTCACAGAGACCTTGTATACATCTCTTTAATTGATCCAAAAAGATTATGTCACCTACTTTAGTTCATATGCAAAAACAAATACATTTTTTTGCTAAGCTTAATTCATTAAAAAATGACATAGCATGTTGTTCTACTTTTTAATTAAAGGATTTTTCCGCTGTACCAGGCTTTCTTTCACAGGCTCATTAAAAAGACTCCCCAAAAATGTTAAAACACCCACCCACTCTATCTCACATGGCTGTGCCAGATCTTTTACAGACCTGGCACAGTAGCACAACTCTTACAATAATAGACGGATATTTGGCCAGAGAATATTATTTTTGGGTCAGAGAGCATAAG